TCCTTCCCCAAACGAAACCAATTCTACCTCCTGCTCCCAAACCACAGACATCCTATCTATCCTTCCCGAACGAAACCCAGGACTGTCTGAAGCACATGGAGACACAATAAAGCATGGTCTTTAACCTTATAGTAACGAAACTCTTGACTTTTTTTTTTTTTTTTGGAAGGTTTTATTCCTGCTCCCTTACACTGTAGGGAATTAGCATTGAAAAGTCATTTTTAGAAGCACCAGTAAGTGAGGTTTCAACTAGCATCATTGCAGATTTCTAGTGCTCAATGGTTTTGGGCATCATGTTTATCTGTGTAGCCAAGTCCTGTGTCACAGACGCTCTCCACGATTCTAAATCAAGAGATATTACTTCCTTGATTTACTGTGAAATATATGCATTTTCTTCATTTGGAAACTGCTACTATATCCAGAAATTCTGAATTTTTATAGCTACATCCTGGATGAAATAATGAGTGAGTTTTCCAAGGCAGAATATAATTGATTGTGCTTGGCTTGCTAGCTAATGATATAATATACTATGACTCGATCTGCTGGTGCAGAACACAATCAGTATGCATGCTCTAGCTGGTGAAAAACATAAAATAAAATGCTTAGATTATTAAGTGAGAACCCAATTTGCTTAGAATGACTAAAGCACAACATACGGCTTGCAAATGAAAAGTATGAACTTTAAAAATTCACATAAAAAACCAGCAAAGGCTGAGACTGAAATGTGAAAAATAACACCTCCTAAGCAAAAAATAACTGAAGTTACACAAAAGTACCAACCCCTTACACCCACAGAACTGTCCCTGAACTTCCCAGCACCACCGGTGTCAGCGTATCCGTGACAAAGAAGGGCTAGCACAGCCTCTGACAGGGCAAGGACAGTCCTGTTACTCAGAACGTTGAATTTCCTCCACGCTATGCCCAGACATCCTTCTACACAGCCTCTCTCACATTCATATTGCATCCTCCTGCATGATTCCAAAGCTGCTTACCATCATGTCTACATGCAGAAAGCATGGGTGAAACCCCACCAGCAAAGCAGCCCCCAGCTCTGCTGCGCAGGCTCGTTCCCCACACAGGCGGGGCACGGCTGTGGGCTCCTCCAGCCCGTGTGGGGTGGGAAAGAGCCTTACACAGGCTGGTTTGGTACACCTGGGAACATCAAAGTTCACAGAAACCAAGAAATCAAGGCAAAGCTCAAACCAAAAGATGAGTTTGAAAGGCAAGAGGTGAAGTCGAATGTAACGGTGCAGGATAACATAATGATAATGATTATTATTATCATTATTATTATTATTTAAGTTTTAGGACTCTAAGCCTTTGTAGGAGATAATTTAATTCGGTTTAAGAAGAAGGTGAAATAAAAACAGGTAGCTAGGAAAGTTTTGAACATCAAAACCGTGTAAAATATATCAATACAGTGAGAATTTTTTAAAAAAGGATTGAGAATACGCAGTTGTATACTTAAATGCTACAGCAGTGGCCAATATTCAGCCACCAAAGAGGCCAGACATGTTTCCCCATCCATTGCAATATTTGGAATCAATTACTGATTACAGAATAACTAAAAAGAGAGCTTTTATTTGGGAGAGGCACATAATTTTAAGAATAATGCACTACAATCTAGTCATCACAGAACCATGGAATCAGAGAAAGTTTTGGGCTGGAAGGGACCTCAAAGACCATCTAGTTCCAACCCCCCTGCCATGGGCAGGGACACCTTCCACTAGACCAGGTTGCTCAAAGCCTCATCCAGCCTGGCCTTGAACACTTCCAGGGATCAGTCATCTATCTCAAACTGAAAGTCGTAAATCATCGCATTTTAATGCAATAACACCTTGAACAATTAACATCTTGAATTATGATTATATCACCAGAGTTGTGTAAATGTGCTGTACTTCTAGCTTCCGTGGACCTGGGAAGTGTTCAACGTGCTACAACATCTGCACGTGGGGGTAAGGATATACACGAAGCTGTTTATAAACTCACTGTCCCACAGGTCATGATGCTGCAAGTCTGGATGATAAAAAAAGAAATGCTAACAAATCAAAACACTGCAAATGCAATCTTCTCCTCAGTTTGGTTTCAGAGGCTCTAAAGCCCAGTTAAACTAATTTCCTGCATCTTCCATGGATTTTCTGCTATAGGTGCAATAAACCTGTCTGGTGATAAAAGTAGCAGCACAGGGAAAAAAATATCATAACTATTTCTTGAAGGCCTCATAAAGTTATACTCTGCAAGGGGCAGTAAACCACCCAGTTGATCCTAATTCAGCATAAACCCATTTGCTTCCCAGTGAAGTGGAGCCGTGCCCATCGGCCAGTGCAGCAGTAAGTGGAACGAGCTGCATACCTGAAGGAGATGTACAGCTGGGCTGGGAATGAAACAGCTTTTTAGAAGATAGAAAACAAGCAAGTGTACACAGTCTTAGGAGGGGCATTAATTTAGATAATTTATTGTTAACATATTAGACTTCCTTGTTGAGTGCGTGTTGCACATTTCACAGTTCCACTTCCTCATGTAAAGTGATACCAGGGAGTAAACCAGAAAGAAAAGGAGGAGGTGGTCTGACTAAGGATAAAAACATGGTAACTAAAGAAGTAAGGAGGTAACTAAGTGGGCTTTTAAATCTCGATGATCTCTGAATACAGCATCCCTTTTCGAACTTCTGAATTTGAATGAGAGGCCGAGAGAAGAGATGACTGCTCTCTGTTGATGAACCAACGGAGTAAAATGCTAAGGAGACAGGGGCACTCTCCATGCTGAGGAGTACTCGGGTGGGCCAAAACCAGCCACAAGTAAATTTATGCTGGAAATAAGAAGGTTTGTAACTGTTGGAGTAGTGATGTTCTGAAACAGACTCCAAAAGTGACCAGTGGAAGTAAAAAACCTAAATAGGCTTTAAAGAGTTTGATAAGAGTCTATGAAGGTGACTGCATGATACAGTTAGTTGCAGGAGAACGAGATTTTCTGTCTTTTTGATCAGATGAGGATGGGGCAGAGAGTACTATCAGCTACCTCAGAGGTGGAACTCAACCAGTTTATCAGGAGAGATGATGAGACATTGATTTCAACCAGAAAATGTTCCAATTCTGAGCCTTCTCTTCTTAAGTTCTTTTTCAGTAGAGGTCTTAGAGGGAGGCCGAGGTGCCACTGTGTTCAAGAGCTGACATGCACATACAGTAGGAAGACAGGGTGTCAGTGAGGTTGAAATTCCTGCCTTCCTGGCTCTGCTAATGTACCCAACAAGTGGACATAGGGTAGAACTTAAACCTTTTATGCATCTTCTGCCTTTCAAGAGCCTGAAGTTTAAGGTTTGCATTTGCAAAACCGCCTTTTTAGTTAGGTTTGAGCAATGCTGAGCACAAAGCTGTCCAGCCCCTGCTGCCTTTTTAGTCTCTCCCTCACAGATTTGATTTTGCTAGAACACCACACCACTGTTTTCAGAATTAAATTGTCTGTCTTCTACTGTGTAATATAGCCATTTTTCTCAGAAGCAGTAGACTAAGATCACTAAATACATTTTACTATGGTTATCATATAGTATTATTAGCAGGAGATAATGACTTTCAGCTAATACCTAATGTCAAACACTTTGAATTTGAAGAGTGAGGCAGAAAGAGCAAGGAACAAGAACAAATCACTCAGACAGACCTGGGAAGCAGCAGACAACCTTTACATTGTGTTCTCAGTCAAATCTTTGTTTGTATACTTGCTTTTCATCTGTCTGCAAAATTCTTAAAACCATAAACCAAAATAAAAGGCACTAGCGAAAACCAATTTTGTGTTGGACTCTGAACCTTTGAACTTTCACTGTCTCATTCAGATTCATTTAGGTACCATCAGTATCACAAAATATGACTTGAGTGGGTTAGCTACTCAGAATTTTAAGGCTTTAATTTACCTAACACTTCCCAGGGCCACTATTTTAGCTATCCAGTAACCTCCCTCTTATGAATAAATGACGATATAAAGCAATTGCCTCCAGCACCCTGATGCTACTTTCATGTGATGGACAGCGGGGGGATACCTGTGAGTAATGAAGTGCCGTTCCTTGCAATGGGAGGCCAAATATGTGCCTGTACAACACAGTGTTTTAAATATTAGAGGACCCGAGAGATAAAAGTTTCACTTCAACACGAATCTGCTGCACAATTTGGCATTTGTGCTGACAGGCAAGCCATTGGTTTGGCTGACAAGAAAGGTGTAATTGATGACAATTACAATTTATAAATTCAGAATCAACATGAATGAAACAGCCTTGTTGCCAGGCAAAAAAAACCAACCATGGGATTTTTAGAAAAGTCCTTCACTTTATGCTGCCACCCTGGGTCTGGTTACAGAAGTTGAATCACAGAATCACTAAGGTTGCAAAAGACCTATAAGATCATCCAATCCAACCATCGACCCAACACTACCATACCCACTAGACCATATCCTCAAGCGCCATGTCTACATGTTCCTTGAACACCTCCAGGGATGGTGACTCCACCACCTCCCTGGGCAGCCTGTTCCAATGCCTGACCACTCTTTCAGTGAAAAACATTTTCCTAATATCTAATCTAAACCTCTGCTGACTCAACTTGAGGCCATTTACTCTTGTCCTGTCAGCAGTTACCCAGGAGAACAGCCCAGCACCCGCCTCCCTACAACCTCCTTTCAGGTTGCTGTAGAGAGTGATCAGGTCTCTCCTCAGACTCCTTTTCTTCAGGCTAAAATTTACCTCTGATAAGTAAAACGAAATTAGTGATACAGTTGCTGAAGATCAGGTACTCAAATCTTAAAACTTGTAACAACAAGACCAAATGAGCTCTCTTTAAAAACTGGAAATCATAAAATAAAATTGGCTTTGGTGTGGGAAGCCTTAAGTATAAAAAAAATCTGCTCTTTTATTGTGTAGATCTATCAAAGCTTAGAGGTTTCTTTTGTTTCATTGTTCTGCACTGGTGTTTCTTCAGGCATACTGCTATCACCCAAATACATCTCTCATTTCCACATACCTTGTAGTGGAAGAGGAATAATCCACAGAAGAGGCTGTACAGGTCAGCTGTCAGCAGGGAGAGGTTGACAGCAGTAGCACTGGTTTTCTTTATGACCACTGGCATAAAGCTGTAGAGGCCAAACATACAGGCACTAAAGCCGACATACAACAAGCCTGCGAAAGAAACACAAGAAGCAAAGTGACCTTCCATAGCCTGTAGCAATGACTCACTTTGGGAGGAAGAAGGCTTGTTTTCAGACAAGGATGCAGAATGCCTTTTCAAAAAAATCCAAATTATTAAGATGCACATATATATATACACACACAGACTAAGAGCATCATTCGAAATATATACAAAACACAGTAAAAACCATACTTACACAGCAGCAGACACAAGGTCTGCTCTCTGTGGTGCCCATAACAGCAGTGCTGTTTTACATTGGTGTCACAGTACTAGTGAATACCTCTTGTCCAAAATAAATTTGGATGAAGTGATACATTCTGACACATCGGATCTAGTCTCTTAAGGAGCTGAATGCCCCCAACACCAACTGAGTTCAGCTGAGTTGGATGGAGCACACAATATTTTCTGGGAATGGACCCAAAAAATGAATGCAAAATTATTTGCAAAGGAGTTAATGAGCCAATGGATGAATGCATGAGGATAGCACTCAAGTGACAGGGGTCCTAGTCCCATTTTGGCACCAAATCTGACAAATCACTTCACAGTTTTGCGCCTCTGTTCCTCTACCACTTTTTGCCTGCCTTCCTTAATAAAGCTTTCTGGAGCTGAGACTCTTTCTTGCTACATGTTTACTGGGTGCCTCACACAAATTAGATTGTTAGACAGTAATATAATAAAAATACATTACAGTAAAATCTAATTTCATTTAAAAACCTAAATAACTTACTGGGAAAGAATTCATTGCTTCAGTTATTACTTGATAAATCCCAAGGCAAATTAATCAATATAAAGTTGAAAAAACCAGCAAACACTTCACTCATCTGCTCTCATGCAAATGCTATTTCTTAGGCTGCCGTATGCTGCAGAATTCCCAGCTGATAGATGCACAAGCCTAAATTTAGAATCATGCCAGCTCTTCAGAGCATGTTGTTATTGACTAAAAGTTGCAGAAAATCTGATTGCTAAAGACCTAGAAGGAATTAGAAGGGGAGGAAAAAGAAAAGCCCGTATGATTTGTATCTGCTTGTGGATCCACTTAGTTAAAAACTCTTTGGAAAAGCTATCTAAAGGACAAAATCAGTTATGATATTTTGAGCCTCTTGGAAGCATCTGAACTGAAGTCTATGTGCACCTGAAACAAATACAGGAGTCACAAAATGTCAGCGTCCGTATATCGATTGTTATGGCACGTTAATGAACTTAGATGTATATTCAGAATATGGATAATCATGGTAAGAACTGCTTTTACTAACGGAGCAAATTTTTATGGTGTATTTTGCACTGACCTTATGCATTGTGTAAGGTTAACAACAGAATCAGTCTTAGGCACTGCTTGAAAGAGTTGCTTTACGCAAACTCTGCAACTCTTCTGTAGTAGGCAAACGATTGCACCAAACAGAGCGTAGTTTGGATCAATGAGAAATCCCTTGCATACGTGAGCATCATCAGCTTTTCTTCCAGGCTTACATCAAGAACAGGTCAGGCGCAAAAGCCATTCTGGACCCCAAGTCAGCATTCTCGAAGTACTGTCTGCAAATCACCAGCTGGTCCACCGAGCCCCTGCTGGTCAGTCTGGAGTTAAGAGACATATTCAGGTGCTTTGCTAGGTTATGGTCTCAACTAACAGTATAATTTTATGGTACTGCCTTGGTGTTCTTATTCTTTGGTAGCCAACGACATGCACTTCACAGGCTGCTTTTCCAAAGGGCATTTCAGTTCCAATGGAAAATTGCTTAAACTGTAGCTGTCCCGTCAAGAGATGAATGTAAAGTGGCATTTCATTTACATCTGAAAAATGTATGTAATACCCACCAGCTGGATGACATTTAGTGCTGACAATAAACAAACTGGAAGTAACATGATATGATTTTTCAGACACTGCTTCTTAAGAGGGCCAGTTTTCAGACTGAAAATATGTTCTAAGTCAAAGGCTTGGAGCCTCAGCTTCCTTGGGTATCCCTGCAGTGCAAATGGCAGCCTTGGGAATCGCCTCTAGTGCTGCCCTCCCAGGTGCCAGGACCTGTGTGTAACCAGGCACTGTGTCACCAGTACCAATTGCCTGTAGCAGGCACCGGAAGGAAGCAACCTGGTAAGTTAGGAGCTGTTTCTGTAATGATCTGCTGATCATTAAACCCCGAGAAGCTCATCATTCATAAATGTCTGCTTTCAGATGTGCTGGCATTGTCCTGAACTGAAGGCTTAATATGCATGAAGGCAGCTGCAGGTGGGGTTCATTACACCTAACTCTGGACACAAACTGAGGGTTGGTGGTTGATGACAAGACTGGGAAATTTTAGGGTGCAGATTGTCCAAGCTCTTCTAGACATCAGCTTTAGCACAGTATGATTTGTGTCATGCCTGATTATAGTTGCTAATGATAAAGGGATTCTATTTATCTATATCAGATGTCCACATCCCAGGTATCTAAAGTTGGTGGAAGGAATCCCATCTCGTCTGTTAGTGTTCACCCTGATGGGTAAGGTTACCAGTTTTGCCTGGTTGGGTGTGAATGCCTTGTGTCTGATCTAGGTACTTAACACCATAGGATTGTGGGGCGATTCAGGCTGGATGGGAACTCAGAGGTCTCAAAACCAGGCTCAGCTGTGAGATCAGACCAAGTTGCTCAGGACTTCGCCCAGCCTCGCCCTGACACCTCTAAGGATGGAGACTACACAGTCCCTCTGGGCAACCTGCTCCACTGCCTGCCTGTCCTCAGTGTGACAAAGATTTTCCTTTTATCCAGTCTGAATCTCTCGTTTCTGCTGCTTCTTCTTGTCTCTCATCCTCCTGCCATGCACCACTGCAAAGACCTTGGCTCTGTCCTTTTGATAACCTCCTTGTAGGCAACTCCTTGAAGCCTTCTCTTCTGTAGGCTGAACACGCCCCAGTCCCTCAGTATTGCCCCACTTAAGACTAGGCATCTTCACACGGATGAGCAGGATCTGCCCCCAGGGACTGCTCTAAAGTAGCCCAAGTACCACCAAGACTTGTATGCCTTGCGAACTTTTGTTTTAATTCTGAGCATGCTGGCTGAATGTTACGTGTTTAGCCTTTGCGTTTTTACTCCAAAAGCCATTGTTTCATTTAGATGAAATAGAATCAGTTATGACTTTTCATACTGTCTTCTTGGCATAAAGACCATTCAGAAATATTCAAACCTTCTGTAACAAAGGACACTTCCTTGGAGATTGAAACCGACTTTTCTCTTAAATAAAATTGATGTTAGTTTATTTGTTACTATTTCATCTATCACTCTACAAAATGTGTCATGGTCTCATATGAAACCACTCAGTCAGAACAGTATAATCATTCTCCTTTCAGTCAGGTTGTCAGCAAGTATTAATACTTAAACCTTCAAGGATTCAAACAGAGCTACACTGATTTGTACTAAGTGTGAAGATGATGCTATGTATCAGGGGAATTTCCAAAATTAAAATCAGGAGGACCACAGCCTGTTTTAAACATGACAGACATAACAGATTGGCTTTAGATCTTTATATTCCAAAATCATTTGCATTTTACATCAGTTGAAAGGTAGCTCATCCATTCTTAATAGCACAATTACAGCAGATGGCAACAGGCCACCTTGAGTTATTTATTAGTTTGCCTGCTGTGACTTTATCACTACCACTCAGAAGGCTGATGATTTAACTCTGCGGGACTGCAGGTTTGAGTCTGTCACAGTGGATAACTATTCAGGACAAGGCTGTGAACACCCTGACATCGATTTGTCAATCACTACTTGACAACCTTGTATCACTGCCAATGCAATACAAAGCACACCAAGTGCAGTGGAAGCCAGGGAAGAACACAAAACTACACATAACTGTCACTATTTAATCCATGTTCAACTACACCACATTTCCAATTATTGCTCTAACTAAACAAGTACATATCTATGATGCTCTTGCTAAGATGATCTCCTCCTTATGAAACGCAGGGACCCTTCAGAACTAGTGACTAACTTTCAATGACATTTTAATGGCATCATGGACCAAATGAGACCTTATTTTAATAGCACATTTCACTGATACTGAGTTACAACAGAACTCCCATGGAAATATATATGACATTTACACAGATAGTAGATTAATTCACTATGGCCACTGCTATTTCCATCAGTACCAGATTAATTATGTCCCTGAGCTCCTTATCATGAAGCATAAACAAACACTGATGCAATTATGCTAATTATCTTAAAGAAGGCCAATACACTTAAAGTACACAGTTTAGTGTGTTTCTCCATGGATACTTTAAATTGATTTGTCATTTAGTTTTATAGCTCAACCATCAAATCTCCAACACTTCTAGGTGCAGTGTTTTGTGAAGCATGCACTGATTTTATTAAGACTTAGGATGATGAAACTGTGAGCTAAGATTAAAGAAAACTACAGTATATCCTGTGACTTGTATCGCCTGTCCTCAGGGATTCCCCACATAATCAGATGCTTTTGCATACTTCTGAGCTGTCATTTCGATGTTCATTCTGAAATTAGGTATGAAGCTATTGTCAGAGGATTGCTAAGGATTGAATCCCCTGACAAGTATGCAAGTTCTATACTATTAGCATTCTTTTATTTCTTCTATTGTCATAAATAGTAAAAGTGTGATTACAGGGACTCTCCTGTCCTAAATATTGATTTGCTTTTAAAGCAAATAATTTGATGTAATATTGAGAAGGGAATCTTTAGATCATAAAGCTTCCAAACTGAATGCAGTCCACTGCATAGCCAAACACCGTTAAGAGCTTCATTGTGCATGATGCTACCTAAACATGTCTAAAAGACACATCTGCTATATTCCACCAAGACTACTTGAAAGCAATTAACCATTTGCCTACAAAAACGGTCCCCTTAGAAATGAGTTTATGAGGCTATAATACACACTGCAAGTACTTTTTTTGGGTTTTGTTAGGCTCCATTTTCTTTATTTGGCATTCATTGTAAAGGTTTGGCTCTTAATGACTACCTCATTTATCTGTCCCAGAGTTGCACTGAATCCTAGAACTGGAACCCCATTGTTGTTTTACTTCATGGCTGTTTGAATAATTGTCTTATGGCATTCATATGCTTAACCTAATGGTGCAAGGAAGGCATAATATGGCAATGGGAGGACAGACCATTTAAGAAAGGTTATGAGGCATGTGCTTCAAACTTTGGCAGTAGCTGGCGGAAAAGTCACAAACATTGGCTCCTGTGAAACTTTGTGCCTGCCTCCCCAAACACTGGTTGTCTCCACGCCTCCTTCAGACACTATCTTCAATGAGGTAAAGTGTTTTCTTACCTATTTGCCAATCCCAGGGAACTTTCAACAGCTCTTTGTGTTCCATGATTGCACTAGAAGAGAAGAGAAGGCAAAATTTGATAGAAGAGAACAGAAGTTAAATTACTTCCACTCATTCAATTCAAATGCTGGGCAAAACAACATAAATAACCTTATAACAAAAAATCTCTGCAGGAACCAAATGCAATCACACTTTGCTAATCCACTCTGGCATTATTCCTGTGCCCGTGTATTTGACAGATCTTCGGGGCAGTAATCAAATGTGATAGCACACAATTTCCACTGCTTTATTTCCAGCTCTCTACATACCTGCCTGAAGTGCCCATCCCCCTATATGTTCAATCCTCTTGTACGCTTCTGACTTAATATTCTGGAAGCTTTTGAACTTTGATGATGAATAACATATCTGAGTTATTCACCCTTCAGAGCAGATCTGCAGCGTCAAATAAACAGATATCACAGGCTGGCTTTGGGGAGAATACAGTGATTTACACACCGAGAGATCGAATATTCACAGCAATGAAAGTCAGGAAACAGGCAATGGATGGGCCAAGCCGCAGAAGTCCATTTTCAATATCTTGCAAGTCTTGTAGTCTACATTAACATCAAAATCCCAGATCCAGAAAATTCTAAGGTGGCAACAAGGCAGTACTTCCCAATCCAGGCGAACAGACCCCTAAAGATTATCTCACAAGCCAGGTTTTCACTCAGCTAACCGCATTCTCTGATCTGTGATTTCCAGATAACTCCTGCTGTGCAGAACTCTGCATGCCAGTCTGGACACTACTTTAAACAAGTATAAGACATGGCATTACACAGATTGAAACAATAAGTACCTAATAAGAAAAGGTGGTATGTGGAATACCAAGTCTAATAGTAAAATTGCAGAACTCAGTGCTTTCCAGATCAATCTGGTCTAGAGTGCTGCATCCTGGAAGTTCTGATTTGCTTGCTGTTGATGTGTGGCAAATCTAATACTGTGTACAGAATAATAAGATTATTTTGTCTGCAAAATAACTAAATTATATAAGTATAAGCATAAGGCATATGTCTCTTTTATCAGCAGCTCCTGAAAAATATCATGAAAACAAACTACAATGTCTCTTGTTCTGGCAAACAAATTGTACTATAACTTAAATGTAGAAACATTGCTTTCATACTATTGCCTATCCAATAGAAAAGAAGTATAAAACAATATGTTGTGGCCTGTGATTCATCGTGATCTGTAAAACTAATAAGGGTAAGACCAACTTTTCCAGAAGCTGCCATTTAGTGATGATCAGTGATTCACTGAAGAATTGGAACCATAATGATCTTTGAAAGGTTGTGGTGGTTGGAAGAGGTCCCTGATGAGGGGAGACAAAAAAGACAAATGCAACATCCATTTCCAAAAAGAACAAAATCTATGTACTGGACGGCCTTGTGCTAACCTTTGGGAAGATTTTGGAGCAAATGTTCACAGAAATCATTTGCAGGAAATGAAGAAGACACGACTGGAAACAGCCAGCACAGACTTCTCAAGACAAACCATACCTGACCCAACTGACTGCCTTCTATGATGAGATGACTGGCCAATAAATAAAGGAGAGGCAATCGATGAGAGGACGAGGTGTCACCTATCTTCCAAAGCTTCCAACATCATTTCCCCAAAGATCTGTATAGACTGAAGAGGTATGGACTAGATAGGTGGACTACCCACGACGTAGTCTAAAGAAAAGGGCCAAGGGAAACCTCATGAAGTTCAAGAAAAGCAAATATGAACTTCTACACCTGGGATGGAATAACCCTATGCAACAGTACAGGCTGGAGCCGACTCGATAGAAAGCTGATTTTCAGAAATAAACCTTGGAGTCCTTGTGGACATCAACCTGAACATGAGTCAACAATGTGTCCCTGGAGCAGAGAAGGCCCACAGCATTCTGGGCATGTAAGTAAGAGCCTAGCCAGGAATCATAGAATCATAGAATGGTTTGGGTTGGAAGGGACCTTAAAGATCATCTAGTTCCAACCCCCTTGCCATAAAAGCACAAGCAGGAAAACACTGTGGAGGTCAGTGGAGAAATGCCTGCTGGTGAGAACTTGTGGGCCAAAGGTTGACTAGAAAAACCGGAGGGCTTTCAGCAGAGAAGTGTTTTGTCATTGTTCCCTTCCAGTTGTGTCCTCTGTAAACAAAGGTGCCTTGTTCCAGCATCAGCTTCTTTCCCCCAGCAAAACAACCCACAGACCCTGAATTGTGACTAACTGCTTAGGTCATGAGGGGCAATGGCACTGTAATTAAATTCAGGAATACAAGACATGTACATGACAGTTTACGCACACACAGCAAGACAGGGGCACTGCTTTGATGCCCTCAGAATCAGTTAGTACCTACTTACCATGAACACTGTAGCTAACAAAAATGCTTTACCCAAAGATACTAGGCACATTCACATGCTCTTGAATGCTGTATTTTAAAAAAGGAACTGCTTGTGCAGCAGTCAGTTAATATAAATCATTTGAAGTCATATGTTCAGATCCCACATACATATAATAAACTTCCTGGCTAAAGAAACAGAACTAATTACGTGGGAATTGCTGGGTCACTGTTTTGATCAATCTCTGTTCTTAGAAGCTGAATAGCTCAGATGTGCAGGGAAGCAACTCAGTTTTGACTAATAATCAAAAGTTACTCTGTGTGACAAGCATAAGTGACAGATCTGCATAAAATGTCACAATCTTGCATGGTGACTTTTTCTATACTTTCATCAGTCACAGTATTATGACACTGCAAAACTACCTTCCAACTCTTAGGCTTGCAGGCGAAATGCTCATTAGGTACACATGGATATAGACAGGACTCAGTAGTTCCTGAAATCCATGCAACAATCACCTGAGTACTATTATTTTGAAGTGAAAAGGCCAATTTCTTAAAGGCATTTTCATTATTTCTGCCATAATATAATGCAGTTACACAGAACGAGCCAATCAGTAAAATAACTTCTGACTGGATGTTTAGAAATCTAAGTGACTTTTCAAAAGTATGAAACAGAACCAGAGAGAGTTGTAGATTTTGTTATTCACAGATCAAACCAGCACGTAAAGTATCCACTTGCCTTCAAGCAATAAGATGGCAGGATGTGTCTTCTACTCCTCACCTCCCCCTGTGACTACTCAAGGACACCAGTCCTTGAACTGGAGTACTTAGGTACAAATTTGTGTTATCATTCAAATCCAACAATCTGAAATATGAAAAGCAATGCAAATTCCAGAATTAGAGGACACCTACTACTCTCCACAGGGAATGGCTACCTTGGAAGAGAAGGTTAGAGTACCTAAATGGAGGCCACAGCTGCACTTATTTGAATGACCATGGGGCTCAAACCTGCTCACTTACAGCTGAATTCCACTGAAGAAGGAGCCAAAGAGTCCAATCATGCCCAGGAATTCCACTCGACTCAGATTTCGGACGATGTACTCCTCACAAACGTTTGAGATGCCATATAGCGTTGCTCCGCCCAGTACTAAGAGATCCCCTATCAGTTTATTTTCACCTAGGAATAAACAGGGGAAAAATCAGAATGTCTCAAACCCACCATCTTTTGTACAGAACCACTGGAAGTTCTTCCCTAGAGATTTCAATCCTCAGTCACCAAGTAGCTCATATCTGAATTAATAAATTGAACGCAAATGTTCTGTCATTTTAACAGTTTTCATTCAATATCCCAGCAAAATCTAGCAGAAGCAAAGGGAAAGCATTATCCTTGCTGTGGATAGAAGAATCTGAAAGAATCTGAAAAATTTGTAAAAAAATAGAGAAATCAAGTGGCACTTTTCAATAACTAATCATTTTAATTTTATTATTATCACTTCTTGTGGACAGAATGTGACTCAGCTATACAGAGAAGTTTGCATCTCATCTTGAAATCTAACCAGTCTAAAAGATGTCCAGTATTTAGATGTGAAACCAACTGAAAAACTCCGTGTACCTGTGAAATGAGTGAAGAAATCATTATAACCCCAATATTGACCTCATTCTCACATGAAGCTGTTTGGCAAGAAAGAGAGGAGGAAGGATGGGGTGTAGACAGGGTGATGACAATGACAGATTTTTAAAAGAGGTTCAATTAACATAGCAGCACCTAATGTATGCAATGAACACCGAGACGTATTTTCTGTACATGCAGGTTTACATAACTACTAAAACACTGTATTATCAAAGACTCTTCGGAGGCTTTTATTATTGGGGAATTTAGTGGGTTGACCCTGGCTGGAGGCCAGGTTCCAACCAAAGCTGCTCTATCCCTCCCCTCCTCAGCTAGGCAGGGGAGGAAAATATAATGAAAGGCTCATGGGCCAACATAAGGACAGTGAAGGATCACTCCCCAATTATCATCATGAGCAAAACAGACTCGGCTTGGGGAAATTAGTTTAACTTATTATCAATCAAATCAGAATACGATAATGAGAAAATAAAACCCAATCGTAAAAAAAACACCTTCTTCCCACCCCTCTCTGCTTCCCAGATGCAACTTTACTCCTCATTTCTCCACCTCCTCCCTGCCAGTGGCACAGGGGGATGAGGAATGGGGGTTGTGGTCAGTCCATCACACGCAGTCTCTGCAGCTCCTTCCTCCTCAGGGGGAGGACTCCTCACTCTGCCCCTCCTCCTGCCTGGGGTCCCTCCCATGGGAGACAGTCCTCCATGAACTTCTCCAACACAAATCCTCCCCACAGGCTGCAGTTCTTCATGAACTGCTCCAGCGTGGGTCCCTTCCATGGGGTGCAGTCCTTCAGGAGCAGCCTGTTCCACGGGCTGCCAGGGAATCTCTGCTCTGGCACTTGGAGCACTTCCTCCCTTCCTTCTCCACTGACCTGGGTGTCTGCAGGGTTCTCTCTCTCACATATTCTCTCTCTTCTCTTCAGTTGCAGTTGCCTTTGTGCAGGTTTTTTTCCCCATCCTAACCATGTTATCCCAGAGGCGCTGATGGGCTTGGCCTTGCTCAGCAGTGGGTCTGTCTTAGAGCTGGCTGGCATTGGCTCTATCTGACACAGGGGAGGATTCTCTGAGATTCTGGTTCTCACAGAAGCCACCCCTGTAGCTCCCCCACTACCAAAACCTTGCCACACAAACCCAATACAGGGGATAAGGAGGGCTGCTCGGAGGTTTGGTCAAGGTCAAGTTCCAGCTTGAAAACTAAGGCCCTGGCTTTGCAAGCTGATGCATGCAATCCCCTCTGCACATACGGCTTGTTAAATGATTTCTACAAGAGCCACAGTTGACAAAGCTGTCAGATATTGCTGTAGAACCATATTCTGACAGACTGGATATAATGGAATTTTCTTTGAAAAGGTTCAATAAAATTGCTGAAGTATTACACTACTTTTTTTTTTTAAAGAAACCTTGTTTTCTTTTAAAATACCCCTTTATTTATTTTTTGAGTTCCTGACTTTTAAATTTTTATTATTATTGATTTGTAAAATACACACTGCAGTAAATAAAAATGAAATCCAAACATTCTGATTGGTTCAAAATGATCTTTTCAACATTTTTCATTATGGAGTTCTTTTAAGCCTTCAGTTTTCATTCCAAACTACAGTGCTGAAATTTCTAGTCTGAAGAAATTTATGAAAATAAAAACGGTTGAAAGAAACCATGGGTTCATTTATCCAGTACCCTGTCTCCAACACTGCCTATAAGCACCAGAAAAGTGTAAGTTGTTTAGGGACGAGTATGAATGGGGTAAATGTTTAAAATATTTCCAGTTTAAAATACTCTCCTAGTCTCCAACATGTTTCCCCTCAGAGGAGATGTGGCTTCTGTGTGTTTAGCAAACATTACTAGTTTTCTCTTTCGCGTACTCATCTAGTCTCTCACTGAATTTGTTTTGCATGTACCTTGACTGACAGCATGTTTATATCTGACTATCTTACTTTCCTTTTAGCCTTCTTTTGTAATCAGCCACAGAAGATGCCCTTAATTTAAAATAAGCATCAGCACTTCATAAAACCTCTTCATACCACTGATGCATTTGATGTGTGGCTCCAATCATCCCTCACTGAGTTCACTCATTTGGAATTTATTACAGCCTCTCACTAACACTTCGGGGAAGTACTGCTGAAAACGCTTCTGACCTTAAAGCTTGGCTGTGCTCAACTGCTGAGACAAAAATACCATCCTTCTGCATCTGCAAAACAAAGACTGCTCAGAGGCTGAGCGCTTGCATAGAGGTGGGACAGCCCCATGCACCACACAGCGATGGCTCTCCCCAGAGGACGCTCATGCTCCGAGAGCGTGAGCCTCAACCTTCAGGACATTCCCAGAAGATCTGATCAGAGCGCCAGTCTGCCTGGCCCAGGACTGTCCTCCGGCACTGGGCAGCACAGGGTGGTTGAGGAACGCATAACGAAATAGGGAAGCACAGAGGCATTTTTAACAGCCAGTTCTACGCAGATTAGGGATTTTCTGAGTTGGAAGTTGCATTAAGCATTCAAACTTAATAGATCCCGAGGGATTCTTCATTAATTTGAGTAAAGTCCATATAGTTTTGGTCTCTACAACACCCCATTGCAGTAACTTACCCAGTTTAAGCATGCACTATTAAAAAGTACTTTATGTTTTTCACTTTTAGGAATGATACTTCAAAATTACAATGGGCATCCCATAATTTTATGATTGTGAGAAATACTTAAGAATCACTCTGTATTGACCCTGTTCATACACTGATGACTTCCTGTACCATTACCATATTTTGTCTCTTTCTTGCCTTTTCTGGGAGATGAAAAATCCCAGTCTGCCTACAGTCTCTTCATCCTGAAGCTATATGATGCCCTTGAACAGCTTTCTCACCTTTCTCCATTGCTTCTATAAGCTTATTTTCTGGTCAGTCCTTTTTGAGATGCAGTGACCAGAGTAACACATGGTACTCCAGAGGCTAGTGCATCAAAATGTTATATACTGGCATAAAAATGTTTCATACTACATATATATTTTTTTTCCTCCTAATAATTCCTAGCATCCTGCTTGTCAAATGCCTTTTCTTTGCTTCCTCAAGAGACTGACTCTGGAACTTTCCTTGAGAACTGACATATCCTTACAGACATATTTTTATGGAAGTAAAATTCACATGCAACTACTGGTTTTATTGCTAAGGAAATATGTATCAACTGACTAGAGGCATTCTAAAGACTTCTAGGTTAATACACTTGTACTTGACCAATTTAATGGCATAGGTCATTCTTCTGAAGAAATGCTAGGCATAGCTTGGCAAAAAAAGCTTTGCATTAACCACTGTTAGCATATTTAATGTTCTCTGGAAGCAAAAGTGATACAGTCCAGAGAAGAGCTTACATTGTGGGGACTAGTTATAGCACTAAAGGGTAACATAAATAATTTAAATATGAATTATGTTCTGACACAATTGCTTTTCACACTCTCACTAGGCCACTTGGGCATATTTTTACCTTAATCCCCAGCATGAAGAGGTATTTCTCTTTGCTTTTAGTTGTAATTACTAATGATCATAATATCTACAAATCATTCTCAATGTGTCCTATCTTAGATTAAACATATTCTTATATATTTATTAACTAAATCTAACAAAATTGAAAAATCTGGATGAAACACTTAGACTTCTGTGTCTCAGAGGTACTTCTGTATTACAGGAACACAAGTACCAAGGTACCAGTTCAAGGTATTATTTCAGAAAAAATGTTATTTTAAGGTATACTCAGCATGTAAGGGAATAGAGCACAAAGTACTTGGTAGTAATTGCTTTTCCCATTGAGAAATGTGCAAAACATCAGGATACAATAAAAAGAGGTAAACTGCCATATATTTATTAGACGTTGAGAGCATGCCTGCACATTATACCTAATTCCTGCAGACAGTTTGGAAAATACCTGCTGATCTCTCAGTGGTGCATTTTAAATTCATGTTCCCTTACTGTAAGAGCTGGCAGGCTAGACTGCTGTATGCAGTGGGTGCCCAGAACAGCCCCATGGCACTTCTAATACAGTAAATAGTACAGTCAACAGGGGCAAACGGGTGTCAACAGATACTGTCCCCTAAAATACAGGATAAACGGAGGAGTTTACTGAGGACTAATACAGCTTCATTGCATTTGGTATATTCCTTCCTTTTGTTTTCCCAGGGTATATTCCTTCCTTCTGTTTGCCCCGTCATAGGAAATATCCTATAAATGGTGTGGAACCCCTTAATGAAGAGTTTCAAGAATTTTTTTTCTTTCACTCCCTATACTTCTTTTTATCTGTAGATTCTTAATGTATAGTTTTACCCTGTCAGATAAATAAAACCAGCTGATCTATTTTACTCTGTTAAAGACAACATCACTAATAACATCACTTTGCCACTTCAATGCTGCAGTCTCTGTGCATAGCAATAAGCATGGGCACAGTTTTTCATGTGTAGGGCTGAATTAAAAGGCAATAATACAAGTTAACAGATTTTTCTGGACAAGTTTACCTAACAGCTATATCCATGCTTTAGTAATGAATGTGTCAAAGAATATCTAATTATTGCAGTTGGATGGCAAAGTGTCAGTGTTTTTCAATCTGTCCACTGAGGTTTTTTTTTGAACCAGAACTCAGACACCCCAGCATGTTACTCTCTAGATTACTGGGACATAGGGAGTTCCCTCCAGAATCCAGGGCTGAAATCCCAAACCCTCTGAAATGAGTCCCTCCTAATGCAGCTTTGGCTGGCTGGTTTCATAGTACAGAGTATATTCTTTCCTTTTTAGCTGGGGCAGAGCTATTTCTGGAGGAGACCAATGAAATAAAAGTCTCCATTTAGGATAAAGGACAGGGCTACAAGGGGGCAGGGAGGTATGGTGAGTACTGTCACTAACTCCCTTGTTTTATTTAGTCGCATCCTGGCAAATGCAGTTCTTACAGCACTTGCATTTGTATTCAGAAAGCTGAGTCAAGAATTTTAAATCCCAGTGTATTATGCTCAGCTCACAATTCAGTGCTTTTAATTAAGAATGAAAACTGTGCCTAATTGACAATCTTTTAAAAGAGTTTCCAGCCTTCCCACATCATTTGGGTTGGCACTAGAGAAATCAATGTGACAGAGGAAGTTGATCGATGAAATCTAACTCTGTCTAGTCTGCGCTAATAGCTACACACACATTATTCATACGATGCCGAATATTTTACACATAAGAAGGTTCTTCTAAGCAATGACACAGGCAAATTCCAAACCTTTACTCTGAGACTGTGTGCAAACCCCAATTGGTACAGTTAGTATGTAGGTTTGGAGTCTCTTAACATTTGCCCAGCAACCCCACCTCTGTACAAAAACAGAGCCAAGTTGAGAAGAAATCAGAGTCAACAGTGGACACGTGAGGTGCTTATGACTGAAAGATGTACCCCATTTGGAAAGGAAACAACTGAGGTTTGCAGTCAACCAACTAAGCCAAATCAGAATGAAACTACAAGTATTTAATTTGCCCCCCAAGCCTGCACAGAGGGTGATCGGGGTTGCAGACACAGGGCCCACCAAGTCTGTTTGCAGCAGTGCTGACTTCTAAGTGTCGACTCATTTTTGTTCTCTATCCCTTCTGACAAAGAAGCAACTTGAATGGTGCAGTGCTTTGGATCCGTGAAGGCACAGGGTTTACTGCCAATTTCCCCTGCATTTTGTCCCAGCCTGACACGTTTCGGTCAATGGTTTCTCTAAGCAGAAATTGGCCATACAACACATCCATCCTTACTCACCTGCTCCTTGCTGTCTCCCAACAAGGACATCTGCTCCTGCCATGCAGCCCATACCCAGAATGCAGACCACGATCCCAATGAAATGTACTGCCTTGTATCGTACCAGTAAGAAGAACCAGGAGAGCAGTATCACCACTGGGATGACAAAACAGTCTAGGAGCTGTCAAGAAAGAGAGGAAAAAAAATCAACAAATCAACTTTGCCCTAAAGATAGATTCCAGCAGAGGGAAGTAGGTTTGTTTAGCTAGTAATAGCACTTACTACCAGACAGAAAGTGTATTTAAGTGGTTATGCCATCCATCAGACAGAGGGTAAGTCTGAATGCTGTTCATGACTATTCCTCTAACTCAGGAGAGCTGTTGCTCTACGGTAATACCCGACAGCATTGCCTTGCTCTTGGATTCAGATGCGTATTTCAAATCCATGGCAAGGAAACCTGTGCCAAAAGAGAGCCACACCACTCCATCTGCTCCTCACCTCTGGTGATTAATGGACAACGACTGAAGGCGCTCTTCCCGCAGTCTAGACATATGCTTTAATTCAGTGATTTCAGATCCAATTAACAGGAATGTTCATAATGCACATTTAATAAATCTGGTCATATAAATCAGGTGGTTTCTGCATGCAGAATACTTTTGAAAAAACTGTCCCCTGCGGGGACTGTTAAATCCTTGAAAATACAGTCCCATATGCCTCTGAAGGAATAAAAAAAAAAAAACCAAACACCTTGCCTGCAGTGCAAGAAACTCAGCCTTCTTGCCAACAGACCCTTGGTAAGAGCTTTCTCAAACAAGTGTTATGAAACACAATCTTTAATTGCTCTTTTCAGAGACAGCCAGCAATAATCCCAGAGAAGTCGTGATAAAGAAAGAAATGCACCAAATGTTTGTGAGAGGACCTAGAGGTTTTCAAATCAATTATATTTTATAAAGTACCAGTATGTTACCAGGAAACCTTCTTCCCGGGCTCAGCTTTACTACCTATTTCTCTACCTCATCCCCGTCAGCAGCGCAAGGGGTCGGGGAATGGGGGTTGTGGTCAGTCCATCACACGCTGTCTCTGCTGCTCCTTCCTCCTCAGGGGGAGGACTCCTCACACTCTGTCCCTGCCTGAGCCTGGGGTCCTTCCCATGGGAGACAGTCCTCCATGAACTTCCATGTCCTCTACGTCTCTCCCACAGGCTGCAGTTCCTCACAAACTGCTCCAAGCGTAGGTCCCTTCCATAGGCTGCAGTCCTTCAGGAGCAGCCTGCTCCAGTTTGAGCTTCCCACAAAGCAAATAGTGTTTAAGCACAGATATAAGAATATGAAATGTCACCTTTCAGCTACTAACTACTGCCTCTCAAGAGACACAGAGTGACTTAGTGGGTACTTTTAACCCCCAACATCTGGAATACAGCCCTTGCCCACTTTTCACACACAAGCCATGGCACTGCATGTTCACTGTGGGACAGCAGCTCTGATGAGGGCTCCTTTACTTACTGTAGGCTTAGCACACAAAAAGAACATTTTCGTGTGAATATGAGATATACTAGGGTGCGAGTGTGATTACTCCAGACAGTTTTAAAAAATTGTACCTGTAACACCTGTACTCCAACATGCAAATACCCACTAACAGTCTTTTAGAGGAAGATTTATAAATTCCTCTCATTCCATAAATATTTAAACATACCTATGCTTTTAAGTATGTGAAGAAGTGTCTTTTAAGCACTAACATGAAGGGATGCATGAACAGAACCTGTCACAAACAATCCTGACAGCAGCTGGAAAATGCCCCCTTGGGGCTGGTAGTCCGAGGTCTAATCCACAAATTGCTATTTGGAATACTGCAGCATTAATAGATATGAACATGAAATGTAGGTAATGTTCACTGACATTATATAGCTCTTGAACCAGGCTTAGTTTATACCTATAATTAAACAACATGGTAAATAGAAATAAATCAGGTTGCTACAACATCAGCAATAAGATAAGCTAGAGTATATTGCTTAACCATTTTTCAGGTATTGCTTTACATTTAATTTCCCCAGGACTAAATCCGTTCTGCCTTTCTTTTTTCCTCAGGTAAATATGTCTAGCAGAAGAAAATTGCACATACATTCTACAGACAAAAGATGTGAGATTGTGGATTACCTGATCTGCAACTGGGCTTTTTTGTTTGTGTGTTTGTTTTCCCCCTTTCTTTTGCTTATTATTAGTTACTTCAGCTATTAAGAAAAAATCATTATACCTAATTGTCTTTTTTTCTCACTATAAAGCTTTTACAGTAACAAAGATAAATTATGCTTAGCTTGAATTTTATGTATAGTATATAAAGGTCAGTTGTTTACCAGTGTTTCCTTAAGAATCACGTTCTATATTTTCCTTCTTTTTAATTGCTTATTCAAAAGGTACTACCTATACCCTGTCATGTTAAAGTAACTTGATTATAATCAATATTTAAGTTTTAATCACAGAAGTTACCAGATCTCCCTATACTAAAAGAAAACATCTTTCCTATTTTGCCATGGGAAGATAATAAAACTGAAATGAGTGCACGGTGCAGAGCATGTTCTTTGACACTGCCGTGTTTGTCTGTGGTTTTCTTCAGTCACAGCTCTGAATTGGGCCACTTCAGAAGGCAGGATACAAAAATATATAATCTATCGATATAACATCCTACAGCAACTCCTCTCTATTATAAAAATGCTGTGTTCTTACAGATACTGAAGATTATTATTTGATTCTAAAAGGTATTGCACTTCATCTGGGTCTGTGGATGATACACAATGTTGAAATTTATTTTCTCTGCTTATTTGTTTGTTAAATTTTGTTGACTTTATTACACTTGTGAATAACAAATACTCTCTTGCTAACAGTAAATACCCAGTGTCTGATCTCACAAATTCAGTATGTGTCTGTATTTATATAGCAAGAATGTACTGTTAGTCACTGGAAAGGAGAGCTGGCACACTTTAGAGGAAAGGTCTGTAATACAGAGGCTGAATTGCTGATCTGCAGTGATATCAAAAAGAAAAAGTCTGGTCAGCAAACTCCCTATGGGAACAGCTGAGCTGAATCTTCCTTTTTAAACATTCATTGGATTTTTTTCCCCTCAGTTATAAGCCCTTTTTTTCATATTAGGGGTTTCTCATTATTGCTGCCCTCCAGCAAATCATGCAGAGAATCAGCTGCACCCTCTACTCCACTTACTCTCCTGAGCAGAGGCATCAGTAAAATCAGTGCCGTATCCATACAATGTGATACAGCCAACTACATGTGAGGGCTACGGAATTTCAGCATGCGACCCCATAAGTTTAATACAACAGCAAGCGCGGTATCCAGTAAGAGACTTCTGTCGCTTGCTTTGTTTTTTCAAAGAAAGAAAGCATTAGCTGCCCATTCTAGGGCTCCTTCTACTCCAGTTTTCCCACTACCTTCACAATCCCACACACACTTGATTCAGCTGTATGTTACACGTGCACAGAAGCGGCCAAGATGTGAAACCTCAGAGAGCTGGCTGCCGGCTGCCAGGGGAACTACTTGGCGATCCCGCTACCCGGCGACCAAAACCTTCTGCAGCGAAGGTGTGGATGCTGGCAGCATTTCTGACAGGAGAAAGGCATTTAAGCCACGCAAATTAAAAAGAAGCATTGTTTTTACCTCTTGTGTTTCTATTTTCTATCTCATCACATCTTAATAATTTTCTTGCATGGTTTTATATAATTACAGAATTTTAAAACTGCTAATGTTTCATCAAGCCCAAATATAAGATACTCTGTCTAGGGAGACCTGAAAAAGAATCAGTTAGTGATGTTATTTGTTTTAAAATAAATGGAAAAAAATGTTTCATTTTCATGACATGAAGGAAACAAGAGACAGAAGACTGCTCCCAGTCAGAAACTTCTTTAAATCCCTATTTTGCTCACACGACCTCTAGCTTTTTTTTGGGACCACATAACCGAGTTTCTACAACTGTTCCCATCGGTTCCTTTAACCTGTTCTTAGGGTTTTCTTTTTCCCTACGGCCTCAGAAATTCCCTCAAAACTTTCACTAGTGAAAGACACTCACCTACGTCTGACTTGCATGCACCAGCATCTGAGATGACGATTATCACAGCTCCAGCTTTCTGTGTACACAGAAATTCAGCAAGTTCTTGCTGTCACGTTAAATGAAAGGTGGTGGTCACATCCAACCCACATTTCCTCACTTTCATGCTTTACCACCAACACGAGTAATCACATCTTGACCTTTTTAAAAAAATAATCTTAGGACACACCTCTTCCTACTTTCCTCTCATTACATGCACTCCAGATGTGCTTACACAAGATCTGCTCGAATACCAGGAGCAGTTACCAACAAACTGACCACTGAAATGGCCTTTCCTTTAATTGTTTTCCTCCTCTGATTTAACATACCACTGTCAGAAAAGATCATTCTAAGACAGCAGATAGCTCTGCCAGTAATGTGTTTCTGTAGGAAAAACCTGCTTTCTGTTTTGCTTTTCTCTAAGTAAGAAGACTGAACACAGGCTTTGAAGACCATTTTCTCAAGGTTACTTACTAGAAACTTCTCCACGTCACCAGCTGCTGTAAGCTATGCAGGGGATCAGATCCCAGCCTAGGAAAAATCATGGATTTCACCTGCAAGAATATGCAAAACGGGCACAGAATGCCAAAACCTCTGCTGTTGTACTGGGCAGAGCTCCACTGACTTTAATGAGATTTTGCATATTTATGGCAATGAAGAGTGTGGCTCAGGGTGAATTTTGCCATTAGAGGCAGGAGCTCTGGATACTGAGAACTCAGATGCTTCCAAAACTGCGTACAGAGACTGAGGATACTGGAGGGGCTGCTTTCCGCACCTCAGGTGTGTAACAGTTAAAAAACAGATCAGCAACTCGAAGTGTGGAAATAAATCAGATGCAAGATGCACTCCACAGACTCTCACAGTATAAATGTATGGTATGCAACACTTATGCACAATGCTGATCTGTAAACCTTATTAACATTTGCAGTATTCCCTCACTGCCCTGAAGCAAAAGAGGAAAGTACAGTCAATCTTACTTGCAGAGGATGGGGGGTGGAAGGGGAGGAGTGGACTTTATCTCTGCTTTTGAGATATTTCATGTTAGCAGGCACTGGACAAGGTGGATTGACAACTTCCATAATGCAAATCCCC